GAAGATGTAAGAAGATGCTGGACGACCTTGGGGACAGAAGAGGATATTCTCATTTGAAGGAGAAAGCTCTAGATCACATAAAGTGGAGGAACTGTTTTGGAAAAGACTGTGGACCTGTCGTCTGACAGATTACTCATGAATGAATGAATGAATGGATGGATGGCAAAATCGAGCAACATGTCTGCCATCAAGTTTTGTGTGAAGCTGGGCAAATCAACTACTGAAACCCTTGAAATACTTTGTGAGGCTTTTGGAGAATGTTCTTTAAGCCGGACAGTGGTTTTTGAATGGCATTCATGTTTCAAGGCTGGTCAAGTGTCAGTTGTCTTACATCTGTTTTTGTTTTGTTAAACTATTTTTCACCAAGAAAATCCATTTTGTTTTTAACTTCTTACATAATACAGAGCCATTCCAAGTCCTATAGCCAAACTTTAGGTTATTAGGGACGTTGGTTTGTCACCCTTGTCAAGTTATATTTCACCACCATTCATGAAAATAACTGTCCATTCACGCATACGCTTAGTTATACACAGACTGATTCTAAATTACTGTCGGAGTTTCCAGTGAATCCAGGAAGCGTTTTATAGTAGCCCACAATAATCAACCTAACATGCTTCTTTGCAGTTAGAAGTACCACAAATGACTGTTTGGAGGGTTGTACATAACAGCCTACAAAGTGCAGACTGTACAAACTATAAAGCTGAACAGTAAATCTTACCACTTCCAGTTTTCCTAAGACACGAGGGCACATTAAGGACATTGTTTACAAGACCCGTGACCTTCCTCGATGAACTGAAGCTCAGAATTGTCGATGAAACCGACACATCTTATATGCCAAAAAAGGCGTGTATGTTGAAGTTATTTAGCATTCTGCTGTACTGATTTTACATGTAATAAAATTGTACTGAGTTACATTTTCATATTCCATAAGCAATTTTGTTGTTGTTGTTTCTGGTTTGAAAATTACAGGCCACAGAAACCCTGCCAATAATTTAGAATCACCCTGTATATTTAACATACCTATTTATTGCTTTTAATTAGAACGAATGATGAACAAAGATTCCAATACATCAGCTTTTCAACATGAACTTTATATTACATTAGCATACATGTCTGATCATGCAGTGGGGACCTGAATACAGTTCTAAAAAGTGGTGCTCAAAGCTATGGCATCTCATACACATGCTTCATAGTGACACCAAATGGAGTCCCTTACAAGAAACAGTTGTCTAGGTTGGTCCTGAACGTCTGTCATAGCCACCAGGATGGAAACAATAGATCATCACAATCACAAACGTTTTCTCTGATGCATCCACTTTAGAAAAAAAATTGTTGGATTCGTCAAGTCAATGTGTGCTGACGACATGAGTGTACCTGTTTCCATCCACCTGTAGTATATCACTGAAAATACATTAGGTTGCCTCCAATCTGGATACCAATAATGGTATATCCTAAATGCAGCTCTAGCATTTCCATCATAAAAAGCATAAATGAAATGCATATAGCATACTTGGCACTAGTTAATCATTGTCATCTCATTTCACTATCACTACTTTTCTGCTGGAAGTAATGTGAACCATAATGAAGTATGATTCCATTTTGTAATGTTATGATGCCACCACTGCACAAACAAACACACGCACACACAAAAGATTGGCCATATAAAGTACAACTGAAACATCATCAAATAAGATGATGTCTGTTTCCATACTTTGCTCCAAATTATCTCAGAAAGATTCCAAAGTTTGGCTACTGGACTCTGAATCACCCTACACATTCATAACACATGTTAAAAATAATCTCATATTCAAGGACATACAATCATAAAGTAAATGGTTTCAGTCCCATGCTCTTAGCCCAGCTGCAATTTTATGATGACTCATTTGTAACTCCTCTTCCAACCAAGTATCAAGAACAATGCAGGCAAATCAGATATTGTCAACTGGTCATTCAGAACAATGACAGAGAATGCTTGTGTTCATAAGACAAGCAAGCTGTTCACAAAACATTTTTGTTGCCCCTTGATACACAGAAGTTCTTAATGTGAAATTTATTGTTGTTTAAATAAAAATACTGGCCCAGTTTATAGTTGATGGCATTCAATAAAGGAGATATGTCTCAGTAGGCTAAGCAGAAGCAGTTGTGGTGCTGGCAGAAACTGTACTGTCAACCACAGTCAGGCTCTCAAAATAATATGCTTATTTAGCCTTCATAAACAACTGGATTTCTATGGCTTCATTTCTGACCAAGAACTTGGTAGGTCACAGAGCAAGAAAGCATTTTACTGAGTACTTCAAAAGTGACATTGAGATTTATATCTGGACTAAAAATAAACTTCACGCATGGGCAGGACATGGTATACAACTGACCTGAGAAGAAATTATTAGTGCAGCTGGGGTGTGTGGGGTAGGCTGTTGTGTGCTAGGCAAAAGCATGCAAACACCACTTGTATAAAATGTCTAAAAAGAACACAACTGTTTTAAAAGAGTTGTGAGGAGTGGTGAAAACAAAACTGTTAACAAGGACTGGCCATTTAGCTCAGAAGGAAATTAATACAGAATGCTGCTGGGCAAGCCTCTCTGAAAGCAGCACCTTAGAAGACTGAGATGGGATGGTAATATTAGGATGGATCTTAGAATAGGAACCTTTGAGGTTTTTCTGTATGCAAGCTAGGCACTTCAAGAAAAGAAACAAGAAAATAAAGGGAGAAGGGGGAGAAGGAAACTACAACCAACCTGAAAGGACTTCCTGGAGAATGTCTCAATATATTCTGCCATGACTGAATAATACGACAGCATGTAACTTCTATGTATAATGGATGCAGCAGTATAGAAAGAAAAACTACAACAGAATAACTGTTCTTAATACAAATTCAGTTCTGTTACATATGACTTTCTGAATCACAACAGAGAATGGGGCAGAGCAGAACAATATGCAGCCTTGGTTTCCAGGACTGGTTAAACCTACCGGATCAAACATATCTGACTGGCTGAGCTCTGTCTTGAAGTCTGCACTGCCTGCAAGGATGATACCAGCAATGTTTGGCTTGTCATTTGTGATGAAGAGTGTCGTTGCCACTTCTGCTACTTTACGCACATAGTTGTGCCTTTTCTCCATTCTAAGTCGTGCAAATCGGAGTGCAGACTGACCTCCTCTACCTGAAATATCATCCATACAGAATACCAACATTAGGTAATTGACAATAATACAAGTACACAAAAGGTATACTAAAAACTTACTTTATATATAATCACACATACAGAATTTGTACTTCATTCACTCATTCATTCTCTTTCACTTCATTTAACACATTATTGACAGGTAAGAGGACAATGTTGAGTGGCAGGATGATCAGTGAATAATGAATTTGAAAGGATGTAGCCATGGCCTAATTTGAGGCAATATCCCGGCTCGTGCTTGAAGAGTCAAAGATGATGGAAAACTCAGTCAAGACAGATGTTTTCTGGTCCAACATCTGAACTTCAGATCTCCTGAATAGGTAGCAAGAGTGTTCACCCACTTGACAAACTTCTGTAAACTGGCTGTTCTTAAAAATAAAAAGCTTCCGGTACAGAGAAACTGCCCCCGACTACTACCCTGAAAATAAACTAAAATGCTGTTAGGTAGATTCACTGTTGGTGGCTGATTATACAATTCAGGGAATGTACACACTGTGTTAACAGTTGCTGTTTAATTATTTCACATATGCCTGAAACATGAGAGCCTTACACTTTCCTGAAATAAATATTTCAGAAAAATTACCTTAGCTTGCAACTGTGGCATGAGAATAAAGCCTGTCATAACAGTGAAGGCATTTGGGAAAAATGACAGTTCTCATTTAGAACGCTAGTGGACATACAGTTGTCTTCCTGAAGATATCACCTATGAAGTTTCACTGACAGAGATGGTCTCCACAACAACTCCAATTTAACCAACCATTTTGTGTCTTGATGCCTGTCTGAAGGGTACCTACTTTTCTGGCTACAATGTTCATATTCACTTGGCATTGACCTATGATAAAATCTTATATACTGAATATGAATTAAATATGTCTCATCATTCTGGAGCAAGCAAAGGACACAATCTGTCATGCATGTACTAATAGGTTTTTATTTTAACTGTAAGGCAGTCAGAAGTGTATCCTTACAAGGTACTAACATGCTATAATCTATATCCATGTAACGTCATATTTAATACAGCTACATAAAAGCAATAAGACAGTAAGAGGTCAGGTAATATAGTGAATGTTACAATACGAGTAGTGAAAGCTCTTCTGTGGCACAAGAAGACATGCCGAAGAGTTGTGCAGATCCCACTACATCCATGCTTCCAAGACCAATGAAGGGGAAAATGGTCTTCCCTGAAGAAGGGAGGTATTGTATGTAAGATACATTACCCTCATTACCATAATGGTGAGGTATTTACTTATATTCTTGCATGGTATTTTTTTTATCCAGAGGTCCCGGGTTCGATTCCCGGTGCTACCAGATTTCCTGTGAAGTAGTGGGTCTGGAACGGGGTCCACTAATATTAGGTAGAAGAGTAACAAATCTATTTCATCTAGCATTTAATTTCTCTTTAAAAATTTCATTTTGTGTTATTTCTGTGGTTCGTTTAACCCCAACACATATCGAATCTGCTTACTGCTCAGAGCATCCGAATATCCTTGAAATACGGGGATAGAACAATCCATATGTAAGAGGGGGGACCCAAAAATAACCGGAAACGACCTGTTGCATGCGCATGCTTTGTAGTTACGAGCTGTGCTGCTAGGTGGTGTTAGCTTGGGGTCTCCCACGACTGTTAGTGAGCTGGCGTCAGTCTGAGTTAAGTGGTTTGTCTGTGGTGCTCTGTTGTGTGCGTTCCTGTTTCAACCCTTTGGCGATTAGTGAGATGGCCGACCAGAAGGAACAAAGAGTGTGCGTGAAATTGATGAAGATCGTCGAAAGACCATTGACCAACTTTCTGAGGAAACGAACATCTCATGGAGCACGGTCCAGCAAATTTTAACCGAAGGTTTGCACATGAGA